GGCTTAAAAGAGCAGCAGAGCCTTCACTCATTGCTGGTTTCTTGTGGTGTGGATGTTTTTTAATTGCTTTCAAGTCTCTTGCATCCTTTGAATATTTTCCCTGACGTTTATTGGTTTTTGTTTGGTTTTCAGTGTGTGTGTTTTGGATTTTTACTTCTATTCCCCTTGGACTTTCATTAAATCATCGAAAACTCATCTGCGCCTACTCCTCTCTGCATTTGGGTCCTCAAAGCCTCGACACAACCGGACAAGAACTCCAATAAAACTTTAAAACTGATTTTTATAGACATTCACCATCTACAAATGATAAACAAGACTTTCTATTGAGGTTTCTTTTTACATCTTTTTTTATTTGTAAAACATGTTTAAATTTATATATATTTTTAACTATTTTTCAAGGCTGAACTCTAAAAAAGATGAAATTTTCCGGAGAGCTGTTCCAAACTAAATTTCTTTTTGTTTTACACTTGTGTAAACAAAAAAGACAAAATCCAATCCAAGTCTTAAACCTTGTATCATTAACTTTTAAACTCACAATTATAATATGTGTTGTCTTAATTTATCGGGTAACATGCCTATAAAGCACAGATTGTGGTTACAGTGAGAAAAACTTACATTTGTGCTTGACATTTTACATACCCTTCCATTAAAGACCAAAAATCAGCTGGCATAAAAATAAATTGAAACAAAACATGTGTGACGGAGCCCCTGAACTAAAATATTGCTCAGCAACATTTTCTGCACCTGTTTACAGGTACGGTGGTTTACTTTTCATGGCCAATGTATTTTCTGGGACAGTTTTGTTGTTTTTTTAGTATTTTTTAAATAAACATTCAAAATCAATATTTTATTTTCAAAAATTATTATTTAGTACATTTTATTTATTATTACCTTTTCAGTTTTATGTTAACTGAATTACTATTGTGAATGTATTTTTCTTCAATGGGAGTGTATGTAAACAGCTAAACTGTATAAACACAGTGGGGATAAAAAGGTGTAATAAACCTTCCGGTCAGCAGGTGGCAGCGCTACCTTTGCTCTCACTGCCTGAAACGGAAATGAGGTAGGACCTGGCTTTCGCTGTTTGCACGTGTGAGGCTTCAGTCACATTGGCAGATCCACAGCGGCACAATGAAAAGACCAAGTAAGTGTTTTTCTGCACTGTTATTGGGTCAGTGAAGAGCTGATATTCAATGCCGTGATGGTTGGTTTGTTCATTATGCTACGGTTGGTTAGCTTTCATTAGCTTTTCCCCAAGCTAACCAATGTTTAACATTGCTAACGAGCTCTCCGCTCTCTTTTACAGAGTTACGGAAAGCAAGTAAGAGGGTCTCCTGTGCCAAACGTTATAAAATACAGAAAAAGGTAAGTCGCCGTATATTTAATCCATATGTTGTCTGCTTCATTGACTTTTAGATAAATTGGTTTTTACTTTTTTTTTGCATGGCTGAAGTCTATTCTAATGACTTTTTTTTGTATAAATGTATGCGTTTTCAAACACTGCATTATTTACAGGAAATGTGTAATTTTCTTTTCTTTGATTTTAGGTCAGAGAGCATAACAGAAAGTTAAGAAAAGAGGCTAAAAAGAAGGGACTGAAAAAACGTGTAAAGAAGGATCCCGGAGTGCCAAACAGCGCCCCCTTCAAGGAGGAGGTCCTCAGAGAGGCAGAGCAGAGGAGGCTGCAGGTCAATATAGCTTTGTTTATGTCTGTTGATTGTTCTTATATGTAGGTTTGAATTTTTTAATTTGTTTTTTCTTAGATTGAAGAAGAAAAAGAGAGAATACGCCAAATAAAAAAGGAGGAGCGAGCCCAGAAAAGGAAAAAGGAGAAGGAAGCTGCTGTCAAACAGGCAGAGCCCAGCGCAAAGAAAGCTCGCACGGTAACAGGTCACCTGATTGGTCAATTCAGGACAGGGCCACTTATGTTTTAGAAATGTATTTTCTCACCAGCATTGATAAATAAGAGTGTTTATTTGGTTATTGATTTGATATGTTTCATATTAAAATGTATTACATAAAAAAAAAACTGGTAAATAGAGAAGAAAACGTGTCATAACTTCTCCTACGCTGATTCCTCATCCAGTGACATCACTGCCCTTATGAGTGTTCAATATCTCGTCCACAATGGCTTTTAAATAAAATTTTAATGTACATTTTCATTCCTACATTTATAAATGTAGGACTTGTGTTCATTTGAATCTTTTTATCCAACTTTTATTTTATGTGTGGCAGGCGAAAAAAATACAAAAGAGCAACACCTATGAGATGGATAAAGGAAATGCCACCTCCTAGTCTCAGAAGCCATTAGGGCATCATGCTTGTGTTTCCTTGATTGGAAAATAAAAATAACAGAATTAACATCCCTCTGTAATGCATCTCTAACAGATTGGGGTGTTGCCTTTTGGGTAAAATGGTATCAGAAGTATGATCACTTTAATAACTCCATTGATTTTAGGTTAAAACGTAATATATTTAAACCATAATATATGTAGAAATTCCTATAGCTGCTAAAAATATATGTTTAATGTACCATTTATTGTTTTGATCTGTCTATGAAACGTAATATTTAGTTAAAGGAGAAGTTCGGTTTTTTACACTTTAAGCCCATTTTCTGTAGGGTCCAGGATGAAATCGAATGATCGACACCAAAAGTTTGACAATTGCTCCTGTCTCTGCTTTTTGGCTCATTTAGAATCCACCCCTGGCTGCTCCAGAATGGCTTCCATAGAGCATGTCCGATAATGTCCTGAAAACAACCTTAAACGTTCTTTTTTTTAAATATGCTACTCACCGTGTCGTCAGCGCTGTTCAATGACGTTCCAAAAAAAGTTTCGTAAAGAAAAACCGTTCCTGTAGTGTTTTATTTAGCATTTTGTAAATCCCATTGAGTTCTGTAGGAATAGTCAATATTCCGCTGCCACCGGAAACGGAAATGGGGCCTGTTTACACAGTTGTAGTCTTTTCGCTTCACTCTGTGTACTCCGACGTCGAGAATCAAGAATCCACCTTTCGTATTCCATTTTCAGAGTTTTTTAAAGTGTTTAACAGAGACGTTAGCACCTCGACGTCGGAGTACAAAGAGTGAAGCGAAAAGACTACAACTGTGTAAACAGGCCCCATTTCCGTTTCCGGTGGCAGCGGAATATTGACTATTCCTACAGAACTCAATGGGATTTACAAAATGCTAAATAAAACACTACAGGAACGGTTTTTCTTTACGAAACTTTTTTTGGAACGTCATTGAACAGCGCCGACGACACGGTGAGTAGCATATTTTAAAAAAAGAACGTTTAAGGTTGTTTTAAGGACATTATCGGACATGCTCTATGGAAGCCATTCTAAAGCAGCCAGGGGGGATTCTGCATGAGCCAAAAAGCAGAGACAGGAGCAATTGTCAAACTTTTGGTGTCGATCATTCGATTTCATCCTACAGAAAATGGGCTTAAAGTGTAAAAAACCGAACTTCTCCTTTAATGCTTTATTTTCCATATCTGTCTCCAATTGTTAGGATACCAAAGCAAATGGTGCAGAGAAGCGTTCAGCTCCAAACAAAAACTCTAAACAGCACCTTTGTACTGAGCTGAACAAGGTAAGCCTTCACAATTTACAGTCGGATCGTTTCTGATGCACTGACAGGTTTACTAAGTGAATCTAATCTGGTCTCTCAGGTGATAGACGCTTCTGATGTGGTGATAGAAGTCCTTGATGCCCGGGATCCACTGGGATGCAGGTGTCCACAGTTGGAGGAGGCCGTTCTACTGAAGGGGGGCAACAAGAAATTGCTTTTGGTGTTAACAAAAATAGGTAAACAGACATGATAATCTCCCTCCTAATGAGAAACAATCTGATTTATTTGCAGTTGCAAGAGTATAATTCTTTCTTTTCTGCTGTAGATCTTGTACCAAAGGAAAATGTGGAGAAGTGGATGGAGTGTTTCCAAAGGGAGTTTCCAGTGGTAGCCTTCAAAGCTTCGACGCAGATCCGCAGCAAAACTGTGGTAAGACTTGAACATCAGGACCAAAGTTATTATTTTTAGGAAAAAAACTAGTAAGGATCAAAAACTGTGCCGTAAAGATCCTGAATTTAAGCCTCAGTCCTGCTTAAAAAAATAAATAGGAACGACAGTTTACCTCACTGCTGAATTGAAACCCTGTCTTTTTGTATTAGTCATGAATTTAAGATATAACAACTAAAACATCATTGTTTAGCAGTAAATACACGGGATGCGTAACGGCGTGTAAGCGCAACAAAGCAGCATACGCTCCTATGTTTGAAAACTGAAATTTACACCAGACGCCAAAGAGATCGCTCCACAGCAACGGGGCTCTGAGTAAACATGAGTTTTTGTGACATGGGTTAGTAAATTAAACTATTGATGACTTTGAAAAAGGGGATTAAATTTTTGGCCTTTAAATTATCTAAATCGCACTTTTTTTATGTAACCGGTGTCATATTTTAAATTTGCATTGTTTTTTCAGAAGTGTTATTTGATTATTTTTTTATCATTATCACAATAGTACCACAAAATGTGTTAAGATCTGAAGTCTCTATCATCCTGCAGTAATTTGGGAAAAAACAACATTAATAGAGCTTTAGATTTTTAAATTTTGGATTCTTTTAAAAGAAAGATCAGTAGCATCACTGGTTTTAACCCCTTAAGTTTCTAAAATGCACATCAAATTCCTCCTGTTTTATGACAGAAGTTAAAGACTCAAAGATAAAATGGATCAATCTGTGTCATATATCCAGTCATACTGATACTGCTTTAATGTAATTCATCCAGAAAATCTAAGATTTAGACTGTGGCAGACGAGGATTAATAAAACCCGCCAGTTTAGCTCTCTGTAGAAGACGGATGATGTTTTACAAGGAAATGTTTTTATTTTCATTTCATTGTGCTTCAAATGGGCCGACTTTGAGTCCGACTAGTTGCTGCTCAGGGCTGGTTGTGTTAAAGGTTTTAATCACTGATCGACACGCTCTTCTCTTTACTGATGCGGAGGATTGAGAAGGTTGAACAGCTTGTTTCCGTGCTGTTAGAACTGGTTATAACCTCCAAAATCAACCAACAAGCCGCAGAGTTGACCCCTCTGTTGTTGAAGGGGCCGATTTGTGCGTTTGTGGAACATTGTTGGAATAAAATCTGTTTGTATGCTCCATCTTCAACTTGATGAGGACACTTTAAAGGTAAACATGTTGCTCTGTTCATCAGAAAGCCAGAAGGAGGAAAATCGTAGCCTCCAATGAAGTCCTTGACAAGTCAAAAGGGGCAGTGTGCTTTGGCAGCGAATGTCTGGCTGAGCTGCTAACGGCGTATGCTGCTAAAACGCAGAATGAATCCACTCTCAAAGTGGGCATAGTTGGTAAGCTTCCCTGCAGAGTTGCTGTTTTTATTGACACATAATGTGTAGATGGATTAAGTTCTCAGGTTTGCTTTTTTTTACCCCATTCTTTCCTCTCAGGTTTTCCTAATGTAGGAAAAAGCAGCCTGATTAACTGCTTGAAAGGGATGATGGCGTGCCATGTTGGCGCTGCAAAGGGCACCACAAAGTGAGAAAAGAAAATGTTAGAGTATGTAGCCAAAATATCATTTTTAATTTCTTCATGAATAAATGTTATCTTATCTGTCCATCAGAAACATGCAGGAGGTGCACATATCAAAGGCTGTGAAGCTGTTGGATAGCCCAGGAGTCGTGGCTTCGCCGTCCAACCCGGCAGCCTCTAAGACCCTGAGGAGCCTGCAGGTGGAGGAGGGTCAGGAGAGCGTGCTGGATGCTGTCAATACGTTGTTGAAGCAGTGTGATAAGATGCAGGTACTGGCCGCTATAGATCCAGAGAGGATTGGGAGCTGATTGGTGAATATTGGGACTTTATCTTTCCTTCTTGTTTTAGATCATGCTTCAGTATAACATCCCAGACTTCAGGAATTCCTTGGAGTTTTTGACCCTGTTGGCCAAAAAGCGCGGCTTCCTGCAGAAAGGCGGCATTCCAGACACAGAGCAGGCAGCCAACACTTTCCTCACTGATTGGACAGGGTGGGTGGCTTTTCTTTACTGTGTAGCTGTGTTTTTTTGGAAATGAGGACAAAATGCATTTCTGGAGTTCACTATGAAGACTTCTAATCCAACTCTGATCCAAACATCTCCTGGTCGAGAGTAAAAGGCTGTGTGGAGTTTTACTCACATAGATATCTGTTTTGGTGTTTCATTAGAGCTAAATTAAGCTACCACTGTAAAGTGCCAAGCAACTACAGCCTCCCTGTCTACGTGACTGACGAGGTGGTGTCTGAGATGCAGAGCGGCTGGGATCTGGATAAAGTGACGGCGGGAAACAAAGAAACACTGAAAGGTATGCGTCTAAATATAAAAGGGTCTTATATTAGAGCTGAAAGAATCGGATTAATCACGATCGATATTATGGAAATGCTGAACTAATAAGTCGAAGGGAAATCATATCTAATTGTCAAATCATTCTGGCTTAAACATGTATGTAAATGTACTCTTTATCAGGCCATATTGTCCCAAAAGTTAGACAATTTCTATTTTTAAAAACATCCTGTCTTAAAATCTGTTTTGTTTTTTTTTGTTTTTTTTTGTGTTATCTTCTGCAGGCCAGTTAGTTATACTTCAGCTTGTACTCCTAAATTCGGCCAATCATATATCAACGGTCATCTGTCAATCAAATTTTTTCGGTCATAGCATCTTGATTCATATGTCGCAGCTAAGATACACAACGGTTGAAATAAGAATCATTTCCTTTCCATCGAGTTCCGTCCCAGTATTCATGGGGATGGACGTCTGTGTCTTCAGCAGGCGTAGAGCTAACAGAACTGGCAGCGTTGCGAGGCAAGGGCTCAAACATGTATGGCTGTAAGCCTTCTACACCAAACCAAGCTTCTGTCGCCCTGGCATCCTCTTCCACAACATCTTCATCCCCGCTTTCCTCCTCTAAATAAAACATGTAAGACGGAGGAGACTCATCCACGACCTCCGACACAAATCTCTCCTCCTCTTGCATGTTTCCGCTGTCCATAGCGTTCCTTGACAGTGTCATTACCAAGGCTACGTTCACACTGCAGCCTGAGGTGACCTTAATCCGATTTTTCTTTTTTTGCCCATATGCAAGCTGTATCTGATCTTTTCATGACAGTCTGAACAACGGAGATCAACTTTTTTCTAATGCAACCCAGGCCACTTGGCTATGTGGTCCTGAATCTGATACTTATCTGATCTTTTCCAATACGACCTGTGTCTGAACGGCCATGTTGCATCCATCTAACCTGAATGCCATTAATACCTGACAGTGGTCACTCTTCTGCTTCTTGCTATGCAGAAAAACAACCAAAATGCTGGACAATGATGCAGAGAGCAGTATTTATCTTTAACCATCTTGGAAAGATTTAATTTTTTTAAGGTTGGGAAAGATCGCTGAATGCTCTCCAGCACTACCATCCATGTTTACTTCCATAAACACAGTGCACACGGGCCTGTGGTGTCATTGCATCCTCTACTGTGCATGGGGGACACTTAGGTTGTATGTAGGGCTGCAACAACGAATCGATAAAATCGACTTTTAAAAGCGTTGGCAACGAATTTCATCATCGATTAGTTGTGTCGCACGATTAATGCGTCATCCGCCGCCGCCGTCATCACATCCACTTGACTGAAGCGGGGGAAGAAGAAAAAATATGGCGGAGCGAGTCAGCGCCACAGGTGCAGTGTTGCCAACTCAGCGACTTTTCAGACCCCTCCAGCGACTATTTTTCAAAAAAGCGACTAGCGACAAATCTGGCGACTTTTTACGGTGTCACTGGCGGCTTTTGGAGACTCTTACGTGAAAGCATGTATCATTCCCCCCCGCGCCTCCCCTTGCTCCCACAGGAGTCCCTCTCAGCGCTGCAGTCAGATCAGCAGGATGTTTACCCTCAGCATCCAGACTGCAAATGAAGCGCGCATGCACCGGGATTGACGTCGCAAATTGATCACAATAATTAAAATAGCCTGCACTTTGTAAAGTGAAAAAAGTCGTAACATGCAACTTTTGTCAAAACATATTAACATGGCACGGAACCACCATGTTTGTTTCGTTTTAAAGTGGGGAAACGTAACGTTAGTTTCTCAGGTAGCTCATCTGATGCTTTCCTTACCGTGTTAGTAGGTTACAGACAGTGATAATGTTGGCTACTTATTTTACTTTTAATTTCATTTGAATTAGCTTAAGCAGCGTTTATATTTACTTTATAAATAAATTAACTTGCAAATTATGAGGGCAAGGCTTTTAAAGTTTAAATCTTCTGGCAAAGATAAAGTAAAGAAGATCCTGCAATTTATGGAACTAAAGCAGAATAAAATCCAGCAAGATCAGTAATATGTCAATTAATTATCTGCCACATTCCCATTTTAATATCTGTCTTTGGAGGATGTGTTTTTTAGCACCCCTAGTTCTCTCATTTTTATTCCAAATACAATTTATAATTTGAATCACAGGGCTATTTTTATCACTAGGGTTAAGTATTTTCTCAAGTAGCAACTTCAACTGCTATACTTTCCTGTCTTAAAAGGCAGAACTCTTCTAGTCTAAAAAAAACGTCATTTGTTGAAATGGGGGGGCCTATTGTTTGAACCCCTTAGGGGCTTTTAAAAACAAAAATGTCTTTTTTTGCACTTTATGAAACAAAGTAGCCTATATTTTGTGGATGTACAGCTACATTTCTCATGTAAGTTTGCGTAGTTTTAACACAAACATTTATTTTTCATATTGCACCAGTACAGTTAATGAGCAACCTGTACTTGTGTGCTTGTTTGTTCTGCCTAAAATGTTTATTTTGGAATAAAGAGGTTAATATAAAAAATATTTTTTGTCCGATTCATCGATTAATCGAAAAAATAATCGGCCGATTCATCGATTTTTAAAATAATCGTTAGTTGCAGCCCTAGTTGTATGAATGCAGTTCACACAGGAGATCACATACAAGTCGCATATTTTTAGAAATGTGAACGGCAATGCAAAAAAAAAAATTGGATTTCACAAAAAAAAAAATTGGAAATGAGCATCAAAGCCTGCAGTGTGAACGTAGCCGAAGTCACCAATTTAGTGCTACTTGGTCGCAATGTAATTTCCTATTGGGAACCTACTAGCACTAAGTTGCTAACTGGTTAGCAAGAAGCTTCCGATAAACCTGCCACAATCAAAATTGCTTGCGAACCTTCCGCCACAACAATCCCGCCCCCTTGATAATCGACCAATCACATTCAGTTTATTCACTCGTGTAAAGTCGTGCACAACTCGGGAGAATTCGGCACTGCAACGGTTGGAACGGACGTTTCCTTACAACTTTAAAAAATATATTTTTTAACTGTCAATGTGCTCTATTAGTTTCACATGGTTTGATATGTAAAAAGTATTTTAAGAAGCTTTAGCTACCTGATTATTGATCGAAAAAATAACAGATTAATCAATTTGCAAAATAATAGTTAGTTGCGGCCCTCGTTTATTAATTATGGAGCAGAGGAAAAACGACAGATACATTTTCTGTTTTGTTAGTCAAATGAAATCTCAAAATATGCTGGATGTTGAATTTTTCCACTACTGATTTCTTCTTTCCAGGTGTTAAATTTCCAAGCCTTTCCAGCAGCATGATCTTCGGCTGCAGAGGGCCGACTGCAGGTCTGCTGAACGTGAGCAGCATCCCTGAGGAGCAACCATCCGCGGAGCCGGAGGAGCAGGACAACAGTGAGGGCGATGAGGTAACTCCAACCATTCATCTACTCGGACTCTATTTCTATGGCCTGCTGGAAATGAGGACAAAAACGCAATTCTGGATTTGTTCCATGGAGACTTCTAATCCAACTCTGATCCAGCTGTTAATCAATAGAGTTTGCTTGAATATAAGTTTAAAGAAATTAAAAACAGTTGCTTTTCCTGCAGCCTGAACAAACCGAGGAGTTGGACGAAACGGAGGAACATGAGAAACCCCAGAAAAGAATCAAAAGTAATTAGTTCGATTTAGATTTTATCTGTTCAATAAAAGATGAACGCTGTAAGTTGATGTCTTCTCGTTTCAGATAAACCCAGGAAAGTGCATTTCCAGTCTGCCCCTGTCGACATCAGCCTCTCTACAGTTCATACAGACGACGCCTATGACTTCAACACTGATTTTAAATGAACATTTACTCATATTTTTGCCACAAAGATCTCGGAACAGCTTCATAAACCATGTGATTGAAGTCAGTCCTGCTGATTTAGTTTTTCTTAAATGAATCTGGCCGATACCATGGAAAAAAAACTGCTGATTGGTCAGATTACATCACAGGTTGATGTAAACAAAGTTGTCTATTTGGTATGAGCATAAATGTGTTTTCCCTGCTATTTGATCTGATGCGCCAAGTAGCCGTTATGGCTGCCAAAACTGCATCATGGTATGGAAATACTCCTAAGAACACCGCTCCATTTGCTTATGGAGCTGTTTAAACTCATGGACTCATTTTCCGTGCGGAAGAATCGCAGTCTGTGTGGCTGACTGCACCATGAAGCGTTTCTATGTATATACCAGTACTTGTAAAAGACCTGTGTGACTGGAGATCATTTGTAGGATCTCAATCTATAACTGTATATAGATTTGCACCTATAAGTCTATTAAATCTTTACAGTGACAATGTGGTTGTTTTCTCTTGTTAAAACTGCTTCGACCAGGTTTCTGTGCAAAGGAGTGATTTCAAAGTTTAGGAAACAGGAAACATTTTATTGATGTAGTACAAAACACACTTGGAACAGCACACCGGTTAAAAAGCAAAGAGGGCATGCAGTATCTGAGGCAACACAGTGGTGATCTGTCAGTGATCTTAATGTCTTTAAAATCCACAGCTCAACAAGAGAGGTTAGTGTTCATGTACGACAGCATAACCGCTTCAGAGAACATAGTTAAGTGGTTCGCTTAGGTTTTTAACATACTGGGTAAAAAGGCTGGATTAATCTGACATGCAAAAGAAATCCCTCAAATTTTAAGGCCATAGGGGAGCACAAACTGCTAACGTTATTACTGCTCTGTAAACGTGAAATCTGTCATCTTACACTAAATCACTTCAGACATTTAAGCATCTAATCCCTTAAAGCAAATAGACAAGTCTTTTATTTCCTAAAATACACTGGATCCACTTTTTCTGATCCCTTATTTGTCCAATTTCTAAGAACCAAATGCTAATATAGTTAAAAACATGGGGTCTCTGCCCACATTTCTGATGGAGCACCTAAAACTGCTATCTCCCGGGACACAGTCATAACAGTCATCTGTGGGATCTCCAAACAAAAAGAACAAAACATGTTTTTCAAATATGGTCTCATGACTGAGAAACCCAAAATCCTTTGAGTTTCAAACTGCTATTAAAGTCAATGAAAGAAAAAGTCCATAAATCCATAGGATGACGAATAAGACTGCTGGCGAAGGAAAAGGTTTAGCTTAGTTCCTGAGGTGAAAGGAGACACGTTTTACTCCATAGGGAACTCTGCAGGTCCAAGAAGAGGATTTTTTTTTTTTCTGTCTTTCCTCAGTCTGCATGTCTTCGTACCGGATGAAACTTCCCTGTGGGATCAGGAATGAACCACTGGTCCCAGACCTCTGTGAAGGAGGACGTTCCCATCCAGGGCTTATAGTGTCCATTCCCATGCAGCAACTTGGCAGCTCTCACATACTGTGCAGAGTAGCGGTTTCCAGCTCCTGTAGTTCCTAAAGAGTTGGAATATAACAGGGTTTATACAGGAAAGGGTAACTCTAATTTAATGCTTTTAGAAATAATTTTAGTGCACCCAGGACTTTTATTTATTATATATATATATTAACAAATTTTACACAATCACAGTGTAAAGAGAAACATAAAATCAAAGAAAACTTTAGGAGAGATGCTGTTGAATGCACTAGTGAACCTGTGAATATGCAGATTGGCTGATGCCAAAAACAAACAAACCATATTAGTCTGTTGATGCATCGGCCCTATTTCTATTACAGCTTTGAGCAAACAATCGACAACCATTTCATAAATGAATGGAGCTTCAATGTGGATAAAAGACAAGTTAAAAAAAACTATTATGACTAAAGATCTCTGAATGAAATCTTCTGATGTAATTTCCTCTGCAACTTTATAGCAGGGCTGAGCAGCAAGGCGTACAAATATCTGAATCTTTTCCCAAACAAATCTGATGAGTTGATTTTTTTCCTTCCTGAAATTTTATGATAAAAAAAATGACAAATTACTTTCAAAAACTCATTTTTATTTCAATTACTCCACCTAAGAGGCAACCTTAATTTAAAGGGTGAAATAATTAAAGCTTGTAAAACACTGATGCTTCACAGCAAACAAAAAGTGACAAACTGAATGTTTGCAGCTTGTGGTTTCACACAGTGAACTAATTTATCAGTTATAATCACATATGTAAGAATACAAAGTGATGACTTGATGGTGCTCTGAGCAATGGAAGCCCAAAGAATGCATTTGTGGGAAAAAAAAAAATAATAATAATTTTTTTATAACAATGATATAAATGGGGAAAATGCTTCAGATGTAAACATCTCACTGAATGCCATTTTTTTTTTCTTTCTTAGCAGCGTTAACAGAAAAACCCCGACCCAGCCAGAGTCCCGACTCCGATCTGATAGTGAATATTTGGACTGAAAAATACAAAAACCTGGGCTGCAGTTATAAGAACTGTCAGATCGCTATAATGCCAGAAAATATGTACGTTTTACCATGTTTTAAGAGGCCAATCTCTGTTTCTGTCAAAAACCACTTTCAGAAATGAACCCAAACTCACCGAGGTGTCTCAGGTGCCACCTTGGGTCGATGGAGGAGTGTCGTTTATAAAAGACGATGAGAAGTGGAGGCGTGGTAAGACTTTCTGCAAGCGTACTACTATACAGATCGACTCTGTTAAAAGAAAATAAAGGGGTTGGATTAGTGAACATATTCGCTTCTTCATTTAGCTCTACTCTTTAGCCTGCGTGAGTCCTCACTGAGAGTTGAGCTCCATCCAGTGCTCCAACTGCTGGGTGATGTTTTGGTTCTTCCACTCTGTCAGGTTTGCAATAATGACCCCAGGGTTAAAGGAGCATGTGTTTGCCCTCATCCCCAGCTTTTTAATGGCTTCCTTTTTAAAATCCAGGAACCCCATGTAGTTGATCTAAAAAAAAAAACAGGATTAGTTATTTAATAATGAATGTCTGGATATCAGATCTGGATATAAAAACCCAAATAGCTCCTGAAAGGCTAGAGCACCTGATTTCCAGCCCCTCGAACGATGCCCTTAGCAGAAGCAGAGTCACAGTCGTCAGAGAAGGCAGCTGCATGACCTGGTTTCAGGCTGGTCTCATAAAGCTCCTGAATGTCTCCTGATATCCAAAACAATCATTCCATAAATCTCCTTTACATACTTTAACCGCTGCGTGATGTGAAGCAGACCTGATTTGATTTATCGTGGGTTTATTCCTACCTTGAACAACAACGTCGTCGTCTAGATAGATCGCCTTTTCTGCATCCGGTATGTACACAGGCAGATAGAACCTGGCGAAGGTCAACTAAGGCACACATATCACCAAATGTTAAACACATAAACAGCCATAATACACATTATGGAGACAGACTTGCAGTATTGTTTGTTGCAAAAACTTACTGGTTTTGCAGCATCCAGCATTGAAGTATCTTTTGGTATCTTCCCATTTAAAAGCTCTGGTTGGAAAATAACTATTTTATATTTGACTTCTTTTAACTTTGTGTTACTCATCCAGGCCCTGTTGGTGAAAAAAAAGAGGATAATTTTAATTCACTTGGATGCTAAAGAATTCCTGTGCTTACCGAGTTATTTAGGACTGACTTTAGATGATCCACTGTGTCATTCGGGGTCACAATGGTGAAGGCCACATTAGCTTTGCTGTTGTGATGGACGCTGTTGATGGCAGCGATCACGCCACCGAGCCTGTCCTCTGCGGCAGTGATGAGAACAGATATCTCCTCCCCTTTCGCCCCCGTCTTTAGCCTGGCTTGCGGAGACAGTTCTGCCTCGAAAGGGAGAATCTGCTCTGCATCTGGATGGGATGAAAACCAAACATGCACAACAGTTTTGCTTTGTAGCACAAAAAAAGAAACACTTGAATATGAGAACCGCCGTTATTTGGGTCTGAGTAAAGCTTCAGCTCACAGGCTTACCTGAGTTTTCCTTGTGTAAGAAGTCGCTTAGTTTCAGGAGGTTTCGCTGAACTATAATTAGGAAGGCCACAGCCAGCAGTATGAGGATTACAACATTTACTGTGGATCAAATGAGATGTGAGTTATTAGATGTATGAGAATCCAGTTTAAGGAACAGAACTTGAACATTACAAACTTTGTTTGATAAAAACAGAGCTATGAAGTAGAAGGAAAGGGATGCATGCTTTTCTAAATTTGACCAATTTCCCCCAGAATTTGAACCCCATTACCTTATGCTGCTACAGAATAACCCCTCGATGTCTACCAGCTTTGCAAGTCAGATCAAATAATTTAATTATTTAGTCAATTATTCAGTCAGTTCAGGATTTCTGAAGGCAGATGCTTGATTTATTTAGGGGTAACACAATAAAACAGCTAAATAGAACTCTGGATTTTTACATGTAAACCATTTAATTTCACAATGATGTGCTACTTTCTGTTGGCCTGGGCAAATAATAAATCAAATTAATGTTTTTGGTTGTATGTAATGTTTTTGGGGTGTAAACACTAAGCTGTTGGGGGTTTATATATTACAACGTGTATGTGATCTACAGTTAATGATCAATACAAATATGCGTTGATCATTTCAATTAGTGTAAATTACGAGTGATTAAAGCTTCCCTCACCTCTCCTTAGTGTCATGGTAGCCGCTGCATTAGCAGTCCTAGCCTTAAAAATGGAGATAAAAGGGAAAAGAAGACAAATACATTCAGAGGTGGTTAAAGTGATGCTCACGCCAGGTTGAGGCGCCCCCACAGAGCACCGTTATGAAGCCGCTGTGTGGTAACTGGACAACAGCTAAACAGTCGGCTGGATGTTTATTCCTCGCGGAAATTAAATATGCCTCCTTATAAGGCGCAGTTTTTGAGAAAATCCTCGCTTGTCGGATTCGCGTTGAAGCCAAACTGCCAACTCAACATCAACAAGTTTGTTTCCTCCACTAACGCGACTGCACGGCAGCTATAGGTGGTAAACATATGCCTGTTTAAAAAGATAAAATATATTGGCTTTCTGACTTTACAGGAGGGTTTTATTATGTCTAGAGAGCAAAGTTTGAGTATTATGAGTATTATGAAAAGTATACATAGAAAATATAAATTTGATGTAAAAGATATAATAAAGGAAAGTCACATTTTCAACAGGCATCTTTCAGTCAACTTACATACTCTGTAGACTTTTAAATGAATATTGTAATGCCTTCAAAGACCTTTGAGGGTTCACATGATATATGAGTTTGAGAAACAGCGCTGTTCCTTTAAATAAAGGCACACGTATTGAGTGGATGGGTCCTTCCTTAACATTCAACGTAGCTTTTGAAACCGGAAGTGTTCTGAAAAAGAGATTCTGGAAAACATAAGCGGTGCAAAAGTAAAAGAAGTAAAACGGTTAAAAACAACAAGAAACGGAGAAAGATCTGACAGTTTATCTGTGCTAATTAAATTCGAAGAAGAGCAATTACCAAGCAAAGTATTCATCGGTTACATAAGCTATAATGTCAAAATCTACAATCCTCCACCATTGAGATGTTTCAAATGCCAAAAATTCGGTCACATTGCAGCAGTTTGTAAAGGGAAACAGAGGTGTGGAAGGTGTGCAGGAGAACATGAGTACGGAAAATGTGGAAAAGAAGCTAAAATAAAATGCTGTAATTGTGGTGGAGAACATACTGCTGCCTATCGCGGCTGTGAAGCAAGCAAAAGGTCTGAGGAAATTAAAAAAATGAAATTTGAGCTCGGAATAACCTACGCTGAAACTGCAAAAAGGATCCCATCTCAGTCAGAAAAACCCAAACCTACAGTTCAACACACGGCAAATTCCAAACCTCTAGAGAAATCTCTAAAAATTGATGAAGACTCACTTATTGTTAAAAAGACAAATTTTGTTCTTTTCATGGTAGAAGTAATTAATTGTACTGCACAGACAACAAAAAAAAAACGGAAAAAATCAAAATAATAGTGAAGGCTGCAGAAAAATATCTGGACATTAAAGATTTGAACTGGGAGATGGTTGGAAGTATGATGGGAGGACCGATGGGACCATCAGAAACTGGCAGAGTTAAGATGACCTAGAGTAAATTAAAATTATATGGGCAAATGTGATTTAGTATTATGTTGGTTTAAGTTACACAGGTTTTTTTTTTTTTTTGGGGGGGGGTGAATCGTTTCCTGTTTTCTTGCTTTACTCCATATCAGTTGGTGGCGGTAATGCACAATTCACAAGTCTGCCAACCGCCATAAAATCCCATAAGAAGAAGAAGAAGAAGAAGAAACCGGAAGTGATCTGCTAGGTGTTGCTAGCAAGAGCCAAAGTTATTTCCGTTTAAGCAGTTAATTTCAGGTTGCAAAATGCTGTCTATATTCAAGTCCATTCCTACGCACATGGTAAGAACTAATTAGATAATTTATTTGGAAGATGTAAGTTGAGGCATTATTAGTAATAGTTTGCTTTATGATTGAGACGTTAGTTTTCTGGCGCTTTAACTAGTAACATATGCTATCTAAAGTCATGTTTCATTTTGGGCAGAGCTTTAAGCCTTCCAATTTAATAGGAGCTGGGATAATGAAACTGAAGTTATTATAAACTATCTCTCACTATGCTGCTCTAACATCAGTTGAATATTAGCATCTTTGCTAACGGACTGTAATGGATGCTGCAATCATTGCTAACACATCTTCTCTCCCTTTCATCTTTTGCAGGATTATAAGGGCCAGAAGCTGGCTGAGCAGATATTCCAAGGAATTATACTAATCTCTGCGGTAAATGTTCTGATTCAGACCAGGAAATGGGATTTTTAGATTTCAAACAGAATTAAAACCATAGTGAAAACTAATATTTTTTAATATGCCACAAAATCTGTTCAATCAGTATATTTTCTTTACAGAGAAAAATTATATGTAAGTGGTGTTTGATTTTAAAGCTTGTCTGAAATTAAATCTAAATATCCTTTAAGGTCCCACAGTGGTGAAAATTATATTTGACAGCAGCAGTGGTGGAATGTAGGTTAACTAAAAGATATACACACAAATAAAAACAACAAACAGGGGTTGAGGTTAAGGATTTTTACCACTTGCCCGACTTTCACATGTCATTTGCCCAGAAACAATTTTACTTGCCCAGTATAATGTTTGATAAATATATTTCCTAATATTCATTTTTGTATATATATATATCAATGAAACATGTTTGTTTTTTAAATGTTTTTTGTAATTCAGAATTTTTTAATTTTACAGGTTCCTGGTGTGTATATGCATGCCTCAGATAGTGAACTCAAGCCTACATTACCTTGTTAACACGCCTTTCAATCCTTCCTGCACATTCTTTTCAGACTAAACTTTGCTTTAAACTATTGTGTGCTTGGGAAAAATACAAATTGTAATGTTAAAAATCTAAAAAAAAAAAAAAAACTTGACAGGTTAAAAACTTACCGGTAAGATAAATCACAAGATAGAAGTCAATGTCACAAATGAATAACTTATTTTAGAGTCACAGTATGTTTATACAAGATAATACAATTAATATAATGTGACTTTTCTAGAGAATCATTATACAGTTATTTTATACAGGGTTTCCACAGTCTTACATAATTTCAGAATTCCCTGACTTTTAACTGACTCAGGATTAGTTTTCCCTGACAAAATAAATGCAGCAACAAGACAATAATATTAACATAACAGGTCACCAATTTAACATGTTAGCTCTATAACATTTAAATGCATCTCTCCAATGTCTCAGACATGATAGCGCTTTCTAGCTTATTTGTCGTTTTGGTAAATTTTGAAGTTTTCAATAAAAAAAAACTACATCAAAATTACGGCTAGGTTGACAAAAATCACGCCATCTGGCGGAAAATCTTGTGGCTTTTTTCAAATCACGCGAGAATATGTACAAAACAACAAAAATGGCGCTGGGTGGGTCGTTTTCAGCTAATGTCGTAATTTTGAGTGATAAATAATTTTTTTTGCGATCACTGCACTTGCTGGGCGGGTAAATGCAATGAAATTGGTACTCTCCCGACCTAGATTTTTCCCCTCATGCCTTCGTAAACCTGGCACTAAAGTACTCTGCAAACAGACCGCTTCTTAAGAAATAACTTTAGTTGCTTCCACTTGATGACTGGTCTCATTAGATTTTTCAAAATGTCTAAAAAAAAAAAAACATATTTAGGGTTTTTATTATCTGTAATCCATAATTATCAAAATACAACATTTCTAAAACAGATTTAAACAATTGCGTAAATATTCTGTGTAATGAGTTTCACTTGTAGAACTGACCAACAGAAATAAGACACAATGTGGCATAATGTATTTGCATGTTTTTTTAAAGCTGCTACTAAAAAGGGAGATCACATGACATTTTTAGCAAAAATCCATTCAGATTTTCCATGATTGTGTCAATCTCTGAACTTTGTACTATGTAGAATAAAAAAAATCCCTGATGGTTGAACAAATGACTTAGCATTTTCATACAAAATGCAGATATGACAAAGCTGCTTTAAAGATGACAGAAATACATAAACAACCGAAGAAAAAAGCCCTGTACTGATTTTGAAACACAATGTTGTCCATATTTTAGATGTGTGGCAGTTCTACTGGTCATACATCCCACCAGGTGTCCAGTTTTATCAGTATGGTTTGGATTTTCTTCCAGGTGATTGGATTCGTTTATGGGCTGATTATTCAGCAGTTTGGTTGGACCGTGTACATCGTATTGGCTGGATTTGCAGTGTCCTGTCTGGTAAGTTTTCACATCCACTGTCTCTTGTTTTCTTCATATCACATCCAGCATTTTTAGGATTCCCTGTAAACAGCTGCCATTCTGTTTCATTGCTCCTCCCCAGCTGACCCTGCCACCGTGGCCTATGTACAGGAGGAACCCTCTGCCCTGGCAGCCGGTCGTATCGGAAGCCAGCGGGGAGCCTAACCAAAAGCCTCAGGACAACATCAAGAGAAAGAAGCATAATAAATAACTCCACTCTTCCCCCTTTGGCCATGGATTACAATTGTTTTGGGGGTTTTTTTTATATGGAAAAGTGAAATTTGTCCTATAATTTACATTCAGTTTAAAATCATTCATAATACGTCATTAAAAATATAAAAAAAATATCTGATGCCCTCTGTTTTATTGATGTTAAAATTTCAATTTACAGTAAAACATTCTAAACAAAATATCTGTAAAATCTCCAACTGATATAAAAAAAGACATGTCATTTAATAAATCATTCTGAAGCAATAAAGGTATTAAATTTTAGTTTTATTAGAAATCACACTATCTACAATATATCTATTACACATGTTAAAAGAAGAAAATAAGTCCAAATAACAGCAGAAATAACAAATATGATAAATTGGATAATGAATAAATGAAACTCCAACAATAAAAGAGAAAACCAAATGGGAAGCTTTAAAATAAACTTTGCATAGGCATCCTTAACTTTAAAGGCTCATTTTCACATTTGGTGTCAATACTCAGAAAGTCAAAACAAAAACTCATCAAGATAATTATCTGTATTGATTTATCAGATCTGAATTTTCCTCCTGGTACAAATTTCAGTCTAAGTTTGGTAGAGGTACCGTAATAAATAAAAGGACGTTTGATTTGATAGAGTTACCAGTGCTATCCCGTAGTGTATTCTACCATGCTTTTCACATCTTTACGGCAATATCCTCAAAAAACTTCAGCTGTCTCACCATGACGGCATAAGCGTGGTACTTCTCATCTCCCATCTGGTCACGAAGGCACAGCTGCAAATAAAAACAAAGGCACCTGAATAAAAATTTCTTTTATGATTTAATTAGAACTCATAGATTAAAATGTAACATCTTTTTTTCCCTTTAGACTTAATTACTTAGTGTTCCTCTCTGAACTCAACTCCCAATCCCTGATGAGGAACTGGCTGTGATTTCCAGGCGGACTTTGTGGAAACAGTTTAAAATCCAAAGCTTTTCTATGTCCCTGGATCAGGTCTCCCTCTCACTGCTGCCCATCTACCCAATCTTTTTTACTCTTTTGACTTATATATGAGCTTCAGTGACATCCCATTCCTAGACCATATGGCTTCACTATCACATTGCTCCACCCTTTCCTTCTAGTAAGAATGTTCATAAAGTTTAGCAGTGTTAATAGGAAAACATTTTTTTTTTAAATTAAAAACAATCCCCTGGACTTAGTTTCGTAGTTTGAAGACATTTCGCTTCCCATCCAGGAAGCTTATTCAATTCAAAATGTCAGGAAAAGCGTTGAGTTCGAGGTTTTATAGAGTAGCCCAAAAAAGCCTTGTTTTTGTTTTGAAAACATGCAAATTGACAGGGACGAAGGGCTCCACCCATTTTTGGTCATTTGGCTTCTTTTGTTAGCCTGCAATGTCCATTACCCGTCTTAAGTGCTTGAAAAGGGGGTCATTAAAGGTGATTGTTGGCCTGACTGAATAGGGGAGGTCCGCCGTTCTCCTATACAGGGGCTGGGGCTGGATGATAGCGGGAAGGGATTAACTCAATTACTGCATTGTAGGTTTTTGAAAGCTGAAACCTGAGTTCTCCCCTCTCTGTTTAATCAGCTGAGTTTCCTTAGAAGGAAAAAGTTTCAAATCCGTCCTTAAATCTGTCTGCATGATTGGGTTGACTACAATAAAGCTGTTTTGAGGTGACAACTTAATTATCTTCAGAAACGTTCATTAAAGTTGTGTAGCAGCTTTCCTTAAAGAGTCGATTCCTGTTGGTGGAGCATAAAATGGCCGATCTGCAGAAATATAACAGAAAAACAGATGGAGAATCTCCTGAACTTTATGGTGGGTTACCCATACTGACTGATGCAGTGCAATGCTAGCTGGGTTCTTGGGTATAGAACTGGCATTAAATTCATAACTAAATCACAGAATCTGATTGGTTCTTTTTTCAGCAAAAGTCAGCTCTTAATTAGTCCTTCTTGTTCAGGGAAATAAAGACCAGCTGAGACATCCCAGGTGAAAATATGTGTTCCACTTAATCTAAAGATTCTATTTCAGGGTTAAAGTGTTTATTCTACTTACTTCTCTTTTGACCTCATCTTCCTCCTCCATGATTTCAAGCACCTTATCCAAAAGCTTAACACCCAGACCTTTCACCACATCGGTTCTCAGACGCTCTATTGCCCGTCTGACTTTAGCTGGACCGGATGGAGAGCCCTCTGGAGAAACAGAGAAGTTAAACTCAAGAACTGGGGAAGATTCTCAGTCATCCAGGTCATAATTATTCCAAAAAAATAAAAAAAAATCCACTGGACTTTGTTTCCAAGTTTGAAGACGTTTTGGTTTCCATCCAGGAAGCTTTTTCAATTAAAATTGTTGGAAATAGGGTCGAGTTAGAGGTCTTATAGAATGGACTTAAGACAAACCCTTGTTTTGCCTTAGAAAAGATGCAAATCATTCAAATCATCATATAACAGGTCCACCCCTTAGGAATGGGGGTCATTGGGTTCTTTGTTAGTCTGCAATACCTGATACCTGTCTTTGTCTCTAAAAGGGGGTCGTTAGAGGGAATTTTTTGCTTGGGTGAACAGGGAGGTGCTCTGTTCCCCTATATGGGGGTTGGAGCCGAGACGATAGAGGGAAGGAATCAACTGTATAGCTGTATTGGCTGTATAAACCTCCAATACAGTGATACAGTTGATTCCTCAGGTATTGCACCCAACGACTGCCCAGTCCGGTTCAATTTGGGTGTTTTCTAAACCAAAACAATGCTTTTTCTTTGGTCCACTCTATAAAGCCTCAAAATCAACGCTATTTCTGACATTTTGAATTGAAAAAGCTTCCTGGATGGGAAGCGAAAGTGCATTTGTTCTAAGATTGAGGGGGTAAAAGAGACATTTTTCAATGGAACAAGACAATTTACACTTGAAATAAGAAAACACAATTGCATTGTCTTATTCCAAGAGTATATTATATAATTATCTTATTTAAGAGAAAAAATACTCATTCCATTTACAAACTATCTAATTTACCTACTCAAATTAAGGGGAAAATACACTTAATTTAATATTTCTAGATTTTTTTTTCCAGTGCAGTGGATTTATTTATTTATTTTTTTTTACTTTTTTGGAATAAACTCAAGAACGTTCTGGGGTCGCAGATGGCTATATGAATAAACCACAGCGTCTCAACCTGTTGGTATTTCCTGGAGTGGAAGGTTCTCCGCCTCTTCCCTGGCTTTCCCATGAAGCAGTAGGGTGTCCCTGTATCTGCGGTTCAGCTTGAATTCGGGCAGCGTGCTGGGCTCCAATCTGCCTTTTCCCACCTCATGTCCGGCATCTCCAACATCCATCCTCAGAGTCTGAGTCATCATGTGGACCAAATCATGCATGTCGCTGGATTCGGTTTTTCTGGATCCGTACACAGAGCAGATTTACATGAAGGTTTCTCCGTTTTCCAGCGTGATACTGAAGGAAAGCTCTTACTGCTCTCACCTTTCCCTACAGTCTCCCTCGGAGCGCTCCGTGGAGCTTGTAGATGAGCTGCACTCATCTTCATCTGATCTTTGCTCTGCCAGTTTATCGTGCTGTAAGATAATAAACCAAACTCTTGTGAACATAGTATTTGGTAATACATTTTTAAATGTTTGCCTTTTCTGAACTGTAGAAAAATACATAAAAAAAAAGTCTGGGCTGACTTTACCTTACTAATGGACTCTGTCATGGAGTATGAAGCAGATCGAGTAAAGAGGACATGTCGCTCAGCTCTAGCAGAGCTGACATCATACGATGACCTTCGCACAGCACTAGGACCTAGGCAAGGTAGAAAACAACCAACTAGGAGTTCCTCTGAATTTATAACAGTCTAATAATTCACAGAACATTTCAGTCAAACTGTTAAGTGAACAAAAGTATGTGGAAAATGATGCTTCAATATGTGGATGGGTTTTCTGATAAAAAAAAAAAAAATTCCTTTATGAAATTCTCAAACAGCAGCAAAAACCCATTTAAAGATGCATTCTTTTTAATGAAACAGCCTTCAGTGATGGGCAGGTGGCGTTACCTGCTGGTCCTGCGCTGTCTTGGGACTGCCTCAGACGTCTTCTCTCTCTGGCAGTCAGAGGACGTTCCTAAAAAGATGAAATTTTTCAATTATATAAAAATCATTAAAGGATACCATGAAGCATAGATACCAAAAAGTGTTAATTTGATAGAAACCAGCTAATTTCCAAGTAAATAATAGACAATGATTGAAATGAAGCTAAAATTAGTTCATTAGGCATCATTTATGTTGTATATAGTGATTCTAACAGCTGGATTGTCACGATCTGCCTGGATAGCTCACCTTAATTATTCATGCCTTTCACCTACTTAACTCTGTCCAGATCCTAATTATCACTTATCTCACCCACCTGCCGGTTGTCCTTATATTGGGCTCAGTTCCAGCTACCATGGTCAGATCATTGTTTGATTTGTTTGTTCCCTGTTTTCCTTCTGTTAGTTTCCTGTCTGTCAATTTTAGTTATGTCCAATGTTCATTTCCCTGTTCCAGTGAGGGGTTTATTTTTAAGCCCATATCTTCAGGCTAGTTTAATCCTTAACCAGCATTTCAGCATTCCCCGAGTGATTCTGTTTTCCTGATTCCATTCCCTCTCACCCTCCCTCTGTCTGATCTTCCCGCTTGAACCTCTGTTGGACTACTGCTGGATTCTGCCAGTGCGTTTATGTCTGAGCTGGATGCTCGATGCACGGGACTCTGAACCTGTCCTCCCAGGAGCATTTCTGTCTGAGCTGGATGCCCGACGCACGGGATGTTATATAGCTGACATCTATCACACAGGTTCCTGCCGTCACGCTCTGATGTATTCCTGGAACCTGGATTTGTCTGTTCCTGAGTGGACTGATCCCTTAAACCAGGTGACAGGTGACTAAGTGACTCACTAATAATCATCTTCTGTTCAGATGATCGTGTTCACTTACCTATGTTTCTCTCTAAAGCAGAGAGTCAGTGATTGGGCGGTGCCCCTGCCCCCTCCTGCAGCTGCTATCTATCTATCTATCTATCTATCTATCTATCTATCTATCTATCTATCTATCTATCTATCTATCTATCTATCTATCTATCTATCTATCTATCTATCTATCTATCTATCTATCTATCTATCTATCTATCTATCTATCTATCTATCTATCTATCTATCTATCTATCTATCTATCTATCCATCCATCCATCCATCCATCCATCCATCCATCCATCCATCCATCCATCCATCCATCCATCCATCCATCCATCCATCCATCCATCCATCCATCCATCCATCCATCCATCCATCTTAAATTTGAGCGCCTTTAGAGAGAGAAGAGAGAGCAGGTGACGAGTGAGACCGACAGACAGCCATTTGGCAGGGGTTGGTAAAGAAAACAAAAATAGGGTTGAGATAACAACTATTAAATGCTATATATATTCTAAATCGTTATTTTGGATGCATCATGACTGTGTCTCTGTCCCACCCATACATAACTAAATATTTTCCCTAAACTCAAACCCTTCCCTTTGGGAAAAGGAGAGATGGTTTCAGCTTTTCAGCAACTAACACTTCATGCAGCTTCAGGGTAAATGAAAATCGCAGTGAAACAATCGATCAATAGCAAGGTAATTTTTTAGATAAAATGCATAGAAATAGATCCAGAAAAGTGTTTTAAAGACTTAGAGAAAACTCCAGATCATTGTCTAGGGGATAATAGGGTCACCCTCACTTGTGGTAGAGGTAATAATCCATCCTTGGATGAGCTAACAGATGTGGAGGCTGCAGTCACATCAACACTCTTGCCCTCTGAGGTCTTCTTGGTCCTCTTTTTCCTCTCCACAGCTGCAGCCTCTATGGGAGGTTGAGGTAAAGGTCTTGGAGCTGCTACCTTAAACTAGCAAAAGACATTCCAACATAACAAATATATAATAATAACTTTAATCACACTTGTTTTCATATTTGCTTTCTGCAGTTTCAGAGTCACTTTTCAAAAAACACAAAGCTATTCAGTTCTGGACAAATTTTCAGTTATTTTATTTTGAAAAAAATGTGTAGTTGCAATGTCATAGTTCTATATTGAAATGTGAAATTTCAAACCATGTTTACCTGTTTACTTTCCCCTTTAGTTGGATCTGAAAGCCTCCCACGTCTGAGTGGCTCTAATCCTTGTGGCTCTGAAAGGATCTGGAGATTTTGGCAAAAAATACCTTGATCCTGTTTAGGTGCAACGGCAGAAATTTCTTCTTCAACAGGCCCCTATTAAAACACAACAGAAACATCAAAACACCACAAGAAAAGAAATGCATTGTCTGTTAACCTTGCACTAGTTTTTCTTAAGGAGCTAGCTGCAATTTAACTCCTCCCACCCAGTAGGTGGCGTACTCTCACACATCTGCTCTTATTCCAATCTTGAAGCAGCAACTTCTGCATGGCGTCTGAGCATCTTTGGCACCAAAGATCTAGAGCTCGGCTTGTTGGTGTCGTAATCAGAAGTAAAGATGTGTATATTTTGGACACCTCAGAATGTATAAAAAACAAGAATGTATTTTTTTTTGGAAGTAAACACATATTTCACTTATAAAATTTTGATTAAGTACTTATTAGGTTAAAAATGGTCTCATCTAATTAATAACATCTGGTTAAAAGGAATTTCTTTCAGAGTCGTAATGTTACTGTCGGTCAGTAGAGGGCGATATTATTTATTCCTAAGCAGAACTGCTGAATCGGGGGCAAGCTAGAGGAGAAACATGAATCAATAGAGTCCTGTGCAGGATTTATCCCTTTTAATAACAACTAGGATGTAGAATTAACTTTATGTGGTTATGTGTGTAAATATAAATACTAGATATACTCCTGAACTTATCCCCTAAATAGCGCCTATTTAGCTGCGCTACATGGCGGAGCAGCACTTGGAAATCGAGGATTTGAGGATAGAAAAGTGTAGGGCGTTAAGACAAAATGTTTGCAACATGATTAAACAAAGACATGCTGGCAATTAACATGGTATATATGGAAGGCTTTAGTGATTTAATGCATAGTGCTAAGTTTTAAACAGTGCTTTTAAACTGGAACCACCAGATTAAAAGCACTGCTAACATCAGAAGGACTCTCCCACCGAGGGTTGTTAGATTACACAAAGAAATATAAATCCTAGTCACCATCCACTTCATTGAAATAAAGTGGGAAATTGTCTGACAGTATGTCAAAGCAACAAATGCTCACTGTTCCATATCTCTGTTCACTATGGAGGACTTAGAGAGTCTCTCACAAAAGAAAGACATATATTTTCAATGTAACATTTAAATCCTGCAATTTGGAAATCCCATTTAAAAAGCATTTTCTAATCGAACGTTATAAATTAATTTACTAAAGAGAATCGTATTTTAGTAAATACTGGAACTTAAAAAATAACTTTAAAATCCTATTTCTAAATGAATATTTCAAAACCAAAATTCATAAATCAGATTATAAATGCCTTTTCTGAACACACATTTAAAAAGGATATTCCTTATTTTCACCCTTTTTTCTATCTAACCAACATTTTGTAAATATTTTAGGTGAAATAGAAAATGAGAACCATGTATTTTGAGATCGTTTTGTTGCATGACTATGAGGTATGTTTATGGCTTTCTATATTAAATTGTATAAATATATGCTAAGATTAAAATGTTTGCAGAAATGTTGATGTTTTTAATCAGTTCTTCTATTTTCTATGTTTACACTAGTACAGAAAAGGGTGAGACATGCTCAAACTTTGTTGTGGAAAACGAGGCAACTGCACCACTCTTGACATTCCAAGGATGTATTATTTTTAGTAATTATTCTAACAAAAAATGTTGTAATTATGACTATTAAAGCTTTATTTTTAAGGGAAACAATATGGGACATTTATTGCTTACCACTGCTGGACGTTCTAACAGCTTTTCCGTACTTTCGAGGCTGTCCTGCAAGGACAGAGAGACTCATTTAAAAAGGTGAGATAAAAAAACTTTCATTTTCTTTTACCTTTTCAAAACGTACATCAACATGTGGTAGATGTGCTGGAATACGCTTGACTAAAGTCACAGTTTCACTTTTATTGTCCACATTTCCATCCACATCCATAATGTTTCCAGCATTTGAATTCTGTGCGTCGGCCTCTTGAAGTAACTCGTTAGTGTCATCCTTACTGTCCACATCTGAGTCCTGTTTCTCCACGGGGACGGAAAAGGTATCACCTCTGTTTGGACGGATACCTAACACCCCATTGGAAGCTGTCCTCTCGTCTGCTGCAGTTCTGGGAGGGGGAGTCACAGGGGGAGGGGGAGGTGAGGGATCCGGTTTCCGCCTCGTCTTGCCCTCTTTGTGGACGGTGCGAGTTGCAGGTTCCCTGCTTGGCTTAATGGTCGGGGGCCTTTGAATGTGATTCATCACCGTATTGTCATTCAACTGTGAAGCCATATCAATATTAATGTTGCTGACGGTTGCCATGGGCGCGATACTGGCTTTGAGAATGTCAGCTGATGGAGGTGGAGATCGTGAAGGTTGGAAATCTGGGACACCGTTCTGGTCTTCATTCTCCTGTGCTGTGTCTTCTTTCTAAGATAAAGGAGGATAAACTGTGTGAACAAATGTTTAAACTATTTATGAAAAATGTTAATGTATAAAATTATAATGAATTGAAAACATATTGATTTATCAAATTATTATAAATTACTAATTCATAAAGCTTTATAAAAATTTATTCATTAATAATATATCATAAATGTAAATATTTGGTAACAAACATTTTGTTAGCAAACAGACAAAGATATGACCATTTTCTTTATCCTTCCAATGTGCTATTCAGGGTTTCTTGGATGTTAAATACAGTCAAATTCGCCTTAAGAGCCTGAAAATCTATAACTCTAAGATTAGTGAAAACCAGAATGAATTATTCGGTCATAGAGTGCTTTATTTTTGTAGCGGCCACTGAATACAGCTCAACAGAGATGCAAGCTGATGCTCACATCCCAGTGCGCACTGTACCTTCTCAGATGATCAGCGGTAAGTAAGTCAGATGCAGGGCACAATCTCACCGAGAGGCATGCAATACATCAATACATTTATTGATTGTACAGTTAAAACCCAAAATGCTACATTTTAAGATGAATTCAACAAAGTCACCAAAAGAATAAAATGTACAACTTAGTTTGTGCACATAACTATTTCCTTCAGCTTGGGTTCTGAAATTACCTTGAGTTTAAATTAACTTATGTTTGATGCTAAAAAAAATTAATATTGTCCACAGTCTGGTGGCTTTAAGCTGCTTTCTTCTTTGCTGAAATACAAACCCAGCAGATGAATTCTCCATCATTAGCTGCACTTACTGTCCAGGGTTCTCACATATTGGTTAACATTGAATTCACAAACTTTTTAAGGATTTATCAGGACCAATTCTCAAAATCAAGGATATGCTGGTGATGATTCTCAGTCATCCAAATTGGAAATTGAATTTTGAAATGAAAAAGCTTCCTGGATGGGAAGCGAAACTTCTTCAAACTTGGAAACAAAGTCCAGTGGATATTTTTTTTTTACTTTTTTAAATTGACTGATAGTACAAGATGCAGACAGTAGGGCTAAATGAAGTAGGTTTCATTCCTGAAGACACATTGACACCATCTGAAAAAGCCTTCTGATGTTAAGGTGATTGTAGGACACAGTTTATAGTCGGCCTATGATGTTAACTATCAGTATGGAGCCATTTAATTCTAAGCCAAACACTGCTGAAAACCATTTTCTGCAATATTACTGTTTTCAAAGCATTACATTGCATAGTAACACCGTAGAAAAACAGTTTTGATACTGTACCCCTCATTTTTTTATAGAGGAAAACTCACTTTAACTAAGCAGATTAAGGAACCTGTGTGATAGATGTCAACTGTATAACATCCAGACGCAATGTTGGGTCATTGTTTAGTCACTGATCTGTAGAACTGAGGTAGGTGAACTTAGATGTTCTCATTATTTCTGGAACAACATAAGCAGCTAACAAATTCCAACAAATACGTTTCTAGCTTCGGGACTTTATTCAGCATGTTAGTGACTCCAATGCAAATGTTAGGTAGTGAGACAAAGACATGACCTGCTTCATATTTACAAAGCATATTTTTGTGATGAGCTTTTATGGCTGAACTTTTAACTTTAAAAAAGTTTGCAGCAGCCTCTGCAGCTGGAAGAATCTGCATTTTTTTATTCTTTAACATCTCAACTTAGATTTCTTAGGCAAACCAATTGAAATGCGTATTATCTGAGCATTATGCAACTGCATGTTTCTGAAACTGCAGGAATGAATCTACAATCCATCCATGAGAAGATCTCATACATCCATGAATCTGCTGTGCTGTGCACACATCAACTCCACAGAGGAAACTCCAGAATAAAGCATCGAACAAACACATAAATAACGACATGTTGATAGCAGTCATCATCTGTGGAAAATTTCAAATGCCCAAAAATATATTTAGGACTTTAAAGGAAGGTGTCTTTTTTTTATGGCGGTTTTCAAAAAAAATCCACGGCCTTGACCCTTTTCTCTAGAGGTTTGGCTAGATTTCCGTCACCATCCGCTAAATGCTCCGGGTGAAATTGTGTGCGGTGTATCGAGCTTTTCGCAGGCCCGAAGAGGACCGTTCTATAGTCTATATTGATTTTAAATCAGCATGTGTGGTGTCCCTTATGTTTTGAAAACTGACCAACAACTTTAAAATCTTGCCATGTGAGCAAGCCTAGAAGAAGAATAACTGATTAGAAGGAAAGAGTGACCGAAAGAGAAACTTTGATGAAAGCCCAGGATTAGATTTAAACACAGGTTCTAGTTCTGCCAGACAGGGGATTTTTAATGTTTATTAGCATTTCAGAGCTGTATGTTACTTTCTACTATAGTTACATTTTATCTGTGACGGTTAGATGTGTGGAATGAGGCTCGAGGACTGCAAGCATGAGGTGCGTCTTTAGTGTCATACATGCCAGAAGAAAGAAGAGCTTTCCTGTTCAGAATAATGTAAGTTCATCAGGTATAGCTCCTTTCAACATTTTATCTAAAACTGATTTGCTTACATTCTTAAGCTCAAAACTGAGAGGAAAAAAAACAAACTTTAGGGAAATATTTTTATATATAAAAAAATATCAATAAATCAATAAAATATGAGAAAACAAGAGATGTGAAAATTCAAAGGGTGTAAATACAATTTCTTAGCAAAGTATAAAAGCTAATATTGGAAAATAAATGGGAGTAAAGTTAGAATACCCAGAGTCTAATTTATAAAGCTTGCATATGAACAAATCGGCTTCAAGCACCAGGTTTTACACAGTTGTTGTGATATGTAAACAGGGGCAGTTCTGGGGCTAGCAAGGGCCAAGGCTCCTGTAGAACTCTTCCAGGCGCCTTTTATGGACCCTGTAGTGAAAATATGAACGGCTAAATTTTAAACGCAAGTCAATTCTTTTTTAAATAGCACTGTTTGAGAAGGTAAGTAAAGGAATTTGCAGATGCAATATCATGATTAATGCTTAAAATAAGAAAAGCGAAACTCTGTTATCTTATTTCATTTCATTTTTGTGATTCTTTTGTTTTTTGCTCCCATGATAACACTAACCCATCCCTGCCCCCTTGGTGAATTTAATCTAGAAACCTTACTAGCTATAAAATCATAATCTTGGGGTGAAAAATTGCATCCCCTCATGCTAAATCTAACCCGTCTGTATGGGGCTCCCACATTTTAGAAACAGAGGAAACTGGTGACACAGATTTTAATGTGAGGAATCAGAGCAAACTTGCATAATTTCCTTCCAGAAATATTTTTTTATTTTGTTTCGTTTTGCCATTCACTGTTTCTACCTTTTGGATGCATGGAATGTTTAATTAGAGCTCCTGAACAATCCTTTAAAAATGAGACCAAAGAACAGTGAGCTTTTTGTAAATGAAACCTAAAATCAAGCTTTATTTGTGGAGTTGTAATCAGCCCTGTTAAAGACTTGATGATGCCAAAGTGGCTCAATATAAAAACAAGCCTCGCATCCTTGGATTAAATGAAATTAGCTATACAGTCCATTAGTTTATTTTTCTGGACTTATCAATTTTTTTAATAACAAATTAATCACCAAATTATCTAATAAAGAATATAAACTTTAGCAGGTATATACTGGTTTTTATCTAAGGGAGAAAATAACCTGTAAGTTACTCTTAAATAATACTGTCAAAGGATAAATTCAATAACTCAAATAACTATCGACATACCAGCTTCACCGGGGCAACAGTGTTTGGACATGGAGGAAGCTTTGGAGGCTTTGAAGGACAAGACGCAGCAGCTGATGGACTGTTGCTCCTGTGATCTCCAGATCCAACCACGGCTTTTTTCTTCGACTTGGATGTTTTTCTGGAACCCAAACAGACATGTAGGGAGAATGCTTATCGTTTAAACTTCAATCGCTTGTTTCAGCTTTATTCATAGAGGACTTTTTATTCAGTCATATGTAAAGCAAAATCTTTTACAGGTATTACAAACATAAAGACAGACATTTAAACACCGGAGACCAAAAGACAGATAACAGGTAATCATTAAAAATGAAAGGAGGAAGAGTTGAAAAGTAAAGATATTGATCAATTACAGAGCATTAGGAACTGTACCTCTCATAAAGGAAAAAAACAACAAAATCTAAAATGGAAATTAACAGTGTTCCTAAAAAAAAGTATATCAGTATTGGTTTAATAAGTAAAACTGTGTGGAAACTAACTACTAATGGCTATCTCCAAGCATTAGCTGTTTTCATTTCATATATACAATATAGGTAAATATCGGTTATGGGCCCTTTTTAACTACCCAGATATTCAAATTAATGCATCCTTATCTGCCCTGTTTATTGATAACTGAATATCTGTATTGGACTGAAGGAAATGGTTGCATCTTTTAAGGATGATAAAATCACTTTTTTTCCAAACATTTTAAAGGAATAATACACCCAAAACATGATTAGCCTTCATTTTCTACTCACCCCCATGCTGAACAACACTCTGGAGTACTTTTTTGATATCTCAAATGCATCTGGAGATCTGGGAGGCTTCTTGCTGTCTGCTGACATTCAAATAACGGAGGTCTATTGTGCCCCGAGGCAGAAAGGTCCATAAAAGTCCACAAAAAACGTGTCAACATTCCTCCATACTGCTCGTCCAATGAATTCCAAGTGTCCTGAGTGGGTAGCGTCCATAATTTACTCGAAACAAAGTCATTTAGAATGTTTTTAGAGCATAAACAGTAGTGTATAGGATTTCCTAAAAGCGCGTTCACGAGTCTACGGAAACCGCGGCAGACCAAACCAGATGAAAGTGCGCATTCAGCGTCTGCTCTGCCGATAATGCAAGCATAGAAGAAGAAATGTGCTGTTTACCTGTGCAAAGAAAGAAACAACGAAAGAAAAATGTCTGAGGACTTCATTGTTGAGGAAGAGCATGAGTTCTTTGCCGAGCTGAATGCGCACTTTCATCTGGTTTGGTCTGCCGCGGTTTCCGTAGACTCGTGAACGCGCTTTTAGGAAATCCTATACACTACTGTTTATGCTCTAAAAACATTCTAAATGACTTTGTTTCGAGTAAATTCTGGACGCTACCCACTCAGGACACTTGGAATACATTGGACGAGCAGTATGGAGGAATATTGACACGTTTTTTGTGGACTTTTATGGACCTTTCTGCCTCGGGCACCATAGACCTCCATTATTTGAATGTCAGCAGACAGCAAGAAGCCTCCCAGATCTCCAGATGCATTTGAGATATCAAAAAAGTACTCCAGAGTGTTGTTCAGCATGGGGGTGAGTAGAAAATGAAGGCTAATCATGTTTTGGGTGTACTATTCTATTAATGTATTTTGAGATTTTTTTTTATATGATCAGAGATTTAATTGCCAATCTTTTAACTTGGGCTATGAGTACTGACTGTGGCCATAACTATAACTGGAGTTTCATCCTGACACAGCTGAGGTAAATTCTCTGTGATTTAAAAGCTAAATACGTTTAAACAGTGCATCCATGGGTCTGGGGCCTTCAGAAGACATCAATACAGAGCAGAGCGTTATCATTGTAGCCATGAAAAGTGATGTCTGCTGATTTCTAGCCTCCTATTTACTTATTACCTGAAAGTAACTATGAAAAAAGCCAATAGGATAATGACTAAATGACTCTTACTCTTTGGTGGCCTCAAGGAACATGGCGATCTGACGTTTTATGTAGGGCTGCCGGAGGACATGTTTGACATCAGGTCTGTCTTCAGGTCTCTTACACAGCATACTCTTGATCAGATCTCCAAGCTGAGGGTGGTACTGACTTGGCATTGGTGGCAGCTGATGAGAAAAAAATTATTATTTTTTTTAATGGTCACAAAAATGTGGAAATTAGAAAAATGTATAAGAATAACATAGTTGTGAAGATTTAAATGATAAACAATAAAGTAATGTACTATAAGTGTATGTGTCTGTACTGCAAAGCGTTTTAACAATATAAAACTGTTCACCTGGAGAAAAAATAACCAATATACACTCACCGGCCACTTTATTAGGTACACCTGTCCAACTGCTCATTAACACTTAATTTCTAAGCAGCCAATCACATGGCGGCAACTCAGTGCATTTAGGCATGTAGACATGGTCAAGACAATCTCCTGCAGTTCAAACCGAGCATCAGTATGGGGAAGAAAGGTGATTTGAGTGACTTTTAACGTGGCATGATTGTTGGTGCCAGAGGGGCTGGTCTGAGTATTTCAGAAACTGCTGATCTACTGGGATTTTCACGCACAACCATCTCTAGGGTTTACAGAGAATGGTCCGAAAAAGAAAAAACATCCAGTGAGCGGCAGTTCTGTGGGCGGAAATGCCTTGCTGATGCCAGAGGTCAGAGGAGAATGGCCAGACTGGTTCGAGCTGATAGAAGGGCAACAGTGACTCAAATAACCACCCGTTACAACCAAGGTGGGCAGAAGAGCATCTCTGAACGCACAGTACGTCGAACTTTGAGGCAGATGGGCTACAGCAGCAGAAGACCACACCGGGTGCCACTCCTTTCAGCTAAGAACAGGAAACTGAGGCTACAATTTGCACAAGCTCATCAAAATTGGACAATAGAAGATTGGAAAAACGTTGCCTGGTCTGATGAGTCTCGATTTCTGCTGCGACATTCGGATGGTAGGGTCAGAATTTGGCGTCTACAACATGAAAGCATGGATCCATCCTGCCTTGTATAAACGGTTCAGGCGGGTGGTGGTGGTGTCATGGTGTGGGGAATATTTTCTTGGCACTCTTTGGGCCCCTTGGTACCAATTGAGCATCGTTGCAACGCCACAGCCTACCTGAGTATTGTTGCTGACCATGTCCATCCCTTTATGACCACAATGTACCCAACTTCTGATGGCTACTTTCAGCAGGATAATGCGCCATGTCATAAAGCTGGAATCATCTCAGACTGGTTTCTTGAACATGACAATGAGTTCACTGTACTCAAATGGCCTCCACAGTCACCAGATCTCAATCCAATAGAGCATCTTTGGGATGTGGTGGAACGGGAGATTCGCATCATGGATGTGCAGCCGAGAAATCTGCGGCTACTGTGTGATGCCATCATGTCAATATGGACCAAACTCCCTGAGGAATGCTTCCAGCACCTTTTTGAATCTATGTCACGAAGAATTGAGGCAGTTCTGAAGGCAAAAGGGGGTCCAACCCGTTACTAGCATGGGGTACCTAATAAAGTGGCAGGTGAGTGTATAGCTGTGGACATTTTTATAGTAATGAATAATTGAAAATAGCAGCAAAATCAGAGATGTGCAAAAAAAAAAACAGCAGCATGTTATTTACCTGACTAAGGTTAAAACTGTGCAAAACAGCATGAATTCAACAACTTATTAAACATATTTTAAACAAAAATGCACCAGAGAGACAAACACCTACAGTTTTTGTTAAAGTGAGATTCATTTTTTTACTCAAGATTTACTGTTTCAATGTTATTTACTATTCGCTGTATTTAGAAGTCAAGTGAAAACAGAAAACAGTTGCTGTATCTTGTTACTTGAAGTAACTTAGCCTATTCTGACCTATATAAATACCGTAATATACTATAAGGTTTGACTTCATAGAAAAGAAACTAGGTTATATTTTGTAAAGTGTTTGCTCCACCTGAAATTGTTATTCTGTAATCACTGCACATGGTACATTTATTTTCCTTTTTATCTCATTATTTAAAACAACAGAATTTGCATAGAACTTTAAACACTGTTAATTTTTATATTTTATTTAATCAGTAGCATAACATATTTACTAAATACTTTTTCACCCTTAACTCATTTCTTGGTTAAGTAATTTTTACTTGTCCCTGAGCAAAAATACAATAAGGTACATCTCTTATTTGTACTTCAGGTCTCCTACACAGCATACTCTTGATCAGATCTCCAAGCTGAGGGTGGTAATGACTTTGCACTTGAGGGTTTTTTTTTTAAACCTAATCATCTATAGATGGGGAGCAAATTATATCATAATAGAATAAATAAAAATTCACCAAACCCCTCTGCAGATGGATCATCTTTATTAATCATACACAGACTGAAGGTTTAAAATCTTAGCTTCTTAAATATAATAAGTGTTTATGTTTCATTTAATCTCCCTCAATTTTATAATTAGTTAGAGACGTCAATTTTGTAGGATAATAATCTTTAATGAAGATTTTAATAACCAATAATGAAAAGGTGAAATGAGCTAATGTTTGTTACTGCTAGAGGAAAGCAATTAGAATGGAGATACTGGGCAGCTAATGGAGACACAAAGTCTGGTAGAGTTAGTCTGGCAAGAATTGATGAATTGAAGAAAAATGTCAATGACCTACTAATGGTGGTTCCAGTGTACTGCAGCCTAGCTTCTGTCAGTAAGCCCCAGGACAGCTGTGGCTACAATATAGCTCACCACCATTTGTGTGTGAGCGAATAGGATGACTGAATGTAGTGTAAAGCACTTTGGTCAAGTCCTCTGACTTCAAAATGTGTTATATAAGTACAGGCCATTTACCATTTTACCATTTACAGGGATGCTAGAAGCTACGCACACTTAGTTTAGAACTTTAACCGTTTCACAGTCTTCCTAATAATATTATTACCCAATGAAAACAATACCAAGTGAAGCGACAAACTCCTTTACGGATGAAATATATGAGGAAATTGACACACTTAAGATTATAAAAGTCTAATGTTCATGATTTAATTATTTTTTGTTTATGTTGCAACAGCTCTGTTGACTGGCAAGAGCCTCAGTTATAATTTCCTTAATTCTTTCTCTGCTTGACTTATAAAAGACGTTAAAATATTAGTTTGTCCTGAAACTAGTTCCTTTAAGAGGAATTTATTACTACTCTGGATCGTTGCTGGGTTAAAGAACTGGCAGAACAGTAGAAGCAAAGTCCGGTTTTTAAATAACAAAGAGCAAAAAATTGGTGCTTGTTATCTTATTGAAAATAAAGTAATAAACCACATATTTCTAACTCAAAGTTTATTAAAAGAAAGATGATGAACGATGAAACCAACCTTTCCCTCTACAATGCGATAAACCAGTGAGTTCATGTCTTTGGCGTTGAAGGCGTGCTTCAGCGTGGACATCTCATACACACAGCAACCCAGGGCCCATACATCTGACTGGGGGAAAAAAACATACATATTGCACACAATATTACCTTCACCAAGAACTATTGGCAAGATATTAATGAGGTTAGAAATTATTTATTTATAAATACATCCAAATGTGGATTTATTGTGATTTTTTTGTTCCAAACTTAAATAAATAGTTTTCCCACTAGCTGTGAAGTGATGTTGAAAATATATAAACATTTTAAATGTATTAGTATTTACTGAAATTTTAACATAATAAATATATTTTGCTGTTGAATGGGTTAAATTATTAAAAAGGACAGTTTGACTTTAAACACGAAGGTTTATGAGTATAAATTGTAAGGGGAACCCAGATGTGTTAGGCCATTTAATGAAGACCTGAGAATATTGCAGACAAAGCAGTTACACTTCTTTAAAAGTTCATATCTACAACTTTCTCATCAAAACCATTCGTAACAAAAAAAAAAATATTTCTAAGAAGTTCAGCAGAATAAAAGTATTAATATCGCTGGAAAAACAGCATAGAAATCAATGTTTTGTAAATTTTGACAGGTCCAAAAATATAAATATGTACTTCTGGTTTTGATGCCAAGGACTCTCCACAAACAGGAATAGCAGACTGAAGTCAACATGAGCTCCTAGTGGCTTCATAACAGACATGAAATGGTTCTTCACTGCGTTACAATTTCTCATATTTAACCAAAAAACAAAAAACTAGCAAAAACAAGATGGACATTGGTCACGCATTTGAGTGTTGGTGTAGATTTAAAGAAGCAAAGGGGTTCGGAGGCTATTTAGAGGTAGCCACCTACACACTGCCTGACAGGAGTGGATTTAGGAAAGTTGGGGCCCTAGGCAAAAACAGGCAGGGGGCCCCTCTGAAATGAGAAGACAACATATAAAACAGACCCATCATACAGATAGAGAAATGTTAATAGAATAGACAATAGAGCTAAGTTGGCAACACTGCTCTTTGCATCATTTCTTTTCAAATGGTTTGCTGCTGTCTGTTTGGACCTTTCTGAACATGTGCAGGAAATGCACTGATCAAATATGGTGGACACTGAAGGGGGAGGGGCCTGAGACACACTTAATAATTTAAGCGTTCTGATGGCATTTTAGGGAAGGGATTTTTATCAAAAACATAATTAATGTGCACAAATAAGCAATTGTTGCATTAACTATAAATGTAAACAGAGTTTTATGGGGCCCCAAGTAGGCAACTGCCTAGTATTGCCTAATGGTAAATCCCCCCTGCTGCCAGACATGGCAACCAGCTGGCAAACAGTTTAACTGAGGGTTGGAACAAGGGTGGGGGAGTTCTTGTGAGCCACTTACTGGCTAGGAGGTGTTAAACTTATAGCTATCACCTTTAAGCTGTTTAAAACCTTTAGGACAATAATTTGAAATGAGCCCAGCGTCCTTTAAATACTGAGAAAAGGAAGTGATGATACCTTGTGGTTGTAGGGTTTATTAGAGAAGAGCTCTGGACTCATGTAGTACGGCGTCCCAATCAGAGTACTGGCCATATCATTTTGGTTCTCCAAAACTCGTGCGATGCCCAGGTCTCCAACTTTGATGATGTTGGTTTTTGTCAGGAAGATATTCTGCGTTTTAAGGTCTCTGTGGAGAATGTTCCTCTCATGGAGATACTGAAAAGCAGATTCAATAAAAACAATGACTTCTAAATTCCCAAACCCCCCCCAAAAAAACACCACTCTGTTAACTCCATCTTTTTAGCTAAGTATGCCAATATGTTGTACCTGTAATGCCATGGCTATCTGGACGAACCACTCCACAACCTGTCTCTCTGGCAAAAGCTCCCCTTTCTGCTGTTTGAGCCTGTGATAGAGGTCCCCGCCTTCACAGAAACCCATCACTATGTAGAGCTGACGGTCGTCTCCTTCCCACGACTCCCTGTAAGTCACAATGTTGGGATGTCGCAGTTGGGAGAGAAGCTGCGCCTCCTGCTCTGCAGCTCGTCGCTCCCTCTTGGACGATGTGGTTAAATTCAGCTTCTTTATCACATACTGGAGAAAAACAGCAACAGAACAGACAGTTTGTTGCCAAACTAATAACATCACTTGAACTCTCCCACATTCTCATCTAACAATCTCAAACGTTTCCGTAGGTTTTAGGGATTTTATGTGATGGACCACAAAAATTAGTGCATAATTATGCAACTGAAGGAAAACTACATTGTTTTTGATGTATGGGGAAAGTGTGATGTGTTTTATATCAACTGCTTCCTGGAATTATTATGTCTGGGAACTACTTGTTCCTAAAAGAGGAAGTGACGCAGATAAACTCTTCTTCCAAAGGGAAGCATTTTGGATGCACTCTCTACAGACCATAAACTCTATGGGATTAAATTAGGAATTGGTGCTAGACTGTGTTCTCTGAATTTGGTCCTGCTGACCACCTCTACTGCTCATCAGCAGCTCAGCTGTAGAGGTGCTCAGCACCACCAAATTCCTGGGGGTGCACATCACAGACACCCTAACCTGGAATGTAAACACCACTTCACTGATCAAAAGTGCACAGACGCACCTTTACTTCCTGCAGAGGATGAGGAGAACCCACCTGCCCCCACCCATCCTCCCCACCTTCTACAGAAGCACCATAGACAGCATTCTGACCAGCTGTCTCACTGTGTGGTGTGGAGGCTGCAGTGCCTCGACTGGAAGAAGGTGAGGAGAGTGGTGAGAACAGCAGAGAAGATCATCGGGGCTCCTCTTCCCTCCATTAAAGACATTTCATCCCAGCACTGCATGTCCCGGGCCCGTAAAATCATCAATGACTCCTCATAACCCCCATCATGAGCTGTTCTCCCTGCTGCCCTCTGGGAAGAAGCTTTGCAGCATTTGATGCAGGTCAAGCAGATTCTGTAACAGCTTCATCCCCTCTGCCATCACTCTTTAAACTGTTGAAAAAACTCTTAATCATGTCACAGACTCTGCATCAAACTGACCACATCAATGCAATTTTTTGCACCATGTTTTTTCTCCCACTCTGTCTACATTTTATCACTGCTGCACTTTAAGAATTTAAAATGTTATAAGAGCTGCACAAAACCCTCTGGGTGCAAAATGACAATAAAAGTTGGCAAATTCTAAGTCTGAATGCTATGATCTTTGATTTTTTTATGTATTTTGAACAGTATTACTGAGTGTAACTGACTGAACTGACAGTATTTCACACAGATGTTTCTGATTGTTCACATTGTTTTCTGTTCTCTAGATAAATTGCAGACAAAAGAAATCTTCTTTATCCTTTTATAATAGATTTTAATAACCAATAGTATTTTTTTTATTTTACTTTACAATAAAGTAGCACTATTTTTTTATGCTGGATCATTTAAGATCCAACTTAACAAAAAAAGGTGGAAAAGGTCAAAAAATGAGATATAATCGATCATTTTACAGTAAGATTTACTATTTATGTACAATTACTGAGAACATTTACGAGATATAAATAGAACCAGCATTGGATCTATTTGTTTTGGAATCTATTTTTATATTTGTTTATTTAAAGACAAAGATTGATATACAACTGGAGCTTTAGAACCATCCAATTATTCAGCTACAGACAGAAATCTCAGTAAATCCTTTAACCGACTTTTAGCTAATCTGCTATATGTTTAGCGTCATCGCTGCGAAAACACAAAATACTTCAAAAAACAAAGTGGTTAATGTTAATTGGTTTGTTTCTAACCTGTTTTCGGTCTGTCTTGTGTTTCACCAAGTTCACCTCTCCGTAGCTTCCCTTCCCAACAACCCTGATGAAACTATAATTATTCATCATCGGTTAAAACCAGCTAGATAACACGGAGACTGCAGCTGCTCCATAGCGCCATAGCTCCTCTGGAACCGCCGATTAAACGATAAAGAAAACTGTTCGGAAAACTTTGAGTTAGCTTCGGAGGCAGCGATGAGATTTTTCTTTCTTTTTTTTTTTTTTTTTTTTTTTTTGAAAGGGCAGGAAATCAGGAGCTGTGTAGTTTGTCATCACTAGGCAACAGAGGCTGAGAGGGGGAAAAAAATCAATGTTCTGCTTTACCTGAAGCGCCACCTAGAGCCTGGAGGGTAACAACTCTTCCATGAATGATTCCTCAGTGGAAAACTTGTCTTTGGCTTTTCTTTTATTAGAGAAAAGCTAAAGACTTCTATTCTATTCTATTCTATTCTATTCTATTCTATTCTACTCTGTAATGTTCTATCAGAATATGATAAAATAGAATAGAAAAGAATAAAACAGAACAGAATGGAATAGAATAAAACATAATAGAATAAAATAGAATAACTGACTTGAGTCTCTCCAACTTCACTGTGTCTGGCTCGTTTGAGAGGTTCTCTTCATGGACTAATCCCTATTTACATTGTTCAGGGCAGATGGCAGACAGTTTGTGTGGCAATGTGTGTGTGAGCAGTTTTTTTAAGTCGATGTTATGGTTCAAGTTGCCCAAGGTGGCGGTGGGGTTATGGTATGGGCAGACGTCTGTTATGGACGAAGAACACAGGTGCATTTTATTGAATGAATTTTGAATGCACAGATTTACTGTGACGAGATCCTGAGGCCCATTGTTGTGCCATACATCCAAGAACATCACCTCATGTTGCAGTAGGATAATGCACTGCCCCATGTTACAAGATTCTGTACACAATTCTTGGAAGCTGAAAACGTCCCAGCTCTTGCATGGCTGGTGTACTCACCGGACATGTCACTCATTGAGCATGTTTGTTTGCGTATACGACAGCATGTAGTTCCTGCCAAGATCCAGCAACTTCGCACAGCCATTGAAGGAAGAGATCAACATTTCACAGGCCACAACGGAAGACCTGATCAACCCTATGCAAAGGAGATGTGTCGCATTGCATGCAGCAATTGGTCGTCACACCAGATACTGACTGATTTTCTGAGTCCCCAGACCCCAATAAAACAAAACTGTACCTTTCAGAGTGGCCTTTTATTGAGGGCAGTCTAAGGCACACCTGTGCACTAATAAAGGTTTTAATCAGCATCTTGATATGGCACAACCTGTGAGGTGGGATGGATTATCTCAGCAAATGAGAAGTTAAAATGATTATATTGTGTTTGTGGAAAAAGTGTATATATATATATATATATATATATATATATATATATATATATATATATATATATATATATATATATATATATATATATATATATATATATATATATATATATATATATATATATAAAGATAATACCTACTATATATACATATATAAAAAAAAAAATCTGTCTGTGTAGTCTTCTAGTGTAAATTGTGCTGAGTGTTCATGTTAGGTGTTAATTATGCATGCTATCTGCCTACATATTTTTCTGCATATATCCCCCCGACTACAAATACTTCCAAACAGCTAATCTATCACTGTTTTAACAGAATGTAAAGTCATGGTGGCACTCTTTAAGCCTACTGACCAGTAGTGAGTACAAAGAGGTGGGAGAGGCTCACTCTAGAACTTCTAAAAAAGGCTTTCATTTGTAGTATGGTGTCAAATTTAACTTTGAACCAGTAGCTTCTTACATCTTTGGTATACTTTTATATTTATTATTTTGGTTTAGGTGGAGTGTAAGAAAGCCCAGCCCAAAGAAGTGATGACACCAACAGGCTCTGCTAGGGGACGCTCCAGAGTGATGCCTTATGGGATGGATACATTCATGTTGGGCATTGGCATGTTAGGTAAGGCCCTTTACTAATTATGAAGAAAACAAACTGTTTTTGAAGAGGAGCTTTGAAAATGGCTAGTTTTTGGTAGAAATTAGCTTTTAAATATGCTTTTTTTAAACTGGTAAAAAAAAAAATTTTTAATCTTGGAAAACGGTTCCTGTCATCTGCATGTTTTTCATAGTATATCAGAACATGGATGGTTTACCTAGACACACATTACATTAGATTCATCTTTTTGCAATATTTTGAAATATGAAAATTAACCATTTATGTTTTCAAACTTCAAACTTTTTTCAACAAACTGAGTACTAAAAATGTTTTTCATTTGTCAAAAGTTTAAAAGTTTCAGTCCACTTTTGTTTTGCATGTTAATATTTTTGTTTTGCTTTGCTTGTGCCCCCCATATAAAAAATTGACAACAAAAAAAACATTGAAAAACAATATTTTAAAGATGTTAAGAAGCATGCTAACTTTAGGATCAGCAGTGACTGTTAGCTAATATTCCATTAATGTTTAAAAAACAGTTTTAAACAATGGCATATTAATTTTTAAAACAATTGTTTTAAGCAATTGTTTAAAAATGTCTGAATTGATAGGATCAAATAATTTCAGATTCAGGAAGGACTTTAATATTAGGGGACATTAGAAGTTCCTAAGCAAATGTTAAGGATCTCTGTATCTTATTTGTGGATTAATAAATTGAGATATTAAATCCTACCAAGGCTCTTTAGAAACTGTACACAGTGCTTTCTCATTGCGCCAGTTGTTCTGTATTATATTTTGACTAGAGACGATCCAATGCACAATAAAAGCTCTTTTACACTCAAAATTTAAAGCAAAGACATTCGAAGTGATGGAGCATTTTTAGTAGGGATGTCCTGATCCGATTATAATATCTGATATAGGTTTGATATTAACTAAAAACTAATATCGGTTATATTGGCTTGCATCTAAAACCTCGGTTAATATTACATGGGTCAGTTTTTCTCACACCTATTATTGTTGATTTTACCGTAGTTCTCAGTTTTACTAACATCACTCGATCAAACATTTTTAAAAACCCAACAGTATCAAATAAATCATAATAAATCATATTTGATTTATGTTGATATTGTATTGGGGGGGCATTATCTGCATCAGCCAATCCTTAAAGTTGTAATAATGGTATCGTGCCGGAAATTAAATAGTTGTATCGAGGCACCCCTATTCTTTAGCATTCGCATCAGAATGTCTGTATCACTACTGATCTGTGCTGGAAACACAATCTGTACCTTTAGCTCATATAAGCATGTACAACAGGTCGCCATTAAATAATGTCACTACGTAAACAAAAGTACTTATTTATATCCTTAAAGGATTAAAGTATACTAAATAGTATAAATTATTACTAATAACTTTGCTAAGAGAATTGAAGCATTTACCTTCTTGATGTTATGTTGCTGGTGTGACGTTATCAACATTAAGCTCAGTTGATGGCGACCCAAGTGTATTTTTTGGTTGCATTATTGAGCTGATGGTTCAGATAAGCACAGGTCAGGTAGTGACAGTCTGTTTTTTTTAAGTTATCATTTTGAACTATTTTAATATTTCAGGATAACTCAACAGCCATTTCATTTCTTACTTCAGTATAAAATTTTTGAACACACAAAAATATTGTTTTAGACCAAAACCAGAGAACTATATCTAGAGATAATAATGATCTTTCACTTCACAAGAAGAGGCCTGATATTATAAGGCCTTTAATTAGACACACTTTAATTATTAATTGCAATAATGTCTTTAAAGGACTGATTAAAGAACAAGGTACATTTACACCTGTTGGATCTTATATATTCCATTTCAAAGAACATTAAGATAAGATGGAAAGATAATTCATTTTGATCTAAACAAGTACCATCCAGAATTTGTATTTGTAGAGTAGTCTCTCTTTGACTGAAAAAATAAAATAAAACTAGAAAAAGCTGTTTCTGAGAAACAGCAAAGTGTGAATGCTTTTTTATGCTGAATGAAAAAAGAAAAATTAGCTAAAGAAACTGTATAACGTAAAAGAGGCACAAATTAGCTGAAGAACATATCAAAATGTGATAGGAAGTAATCAGAAACTTTAAACAGCAGAAACCAGTAGAATCATCTGAAGATTTTGTAGGATAGAATCATTTGGCAAAATAATGGCAGAAACACATTCATCTTTAAAAGCAAAACATTTAAAGTTGATTAACCAGAAGAAAAAGTCCAAAAGTATCTGTTTACCTGGAAGTTGACAGAAGTAAAGCATCTGCTTACGATGTTAGCAGATGCTTTATTACAGTGGAAACGTTAGAGCTTCATTAAGAAATGTGCACTTAGGTGTGTTGTCAACAGGCCTTGGTAGTGTAATTTGAAGAAATTGGTTGAGTTCGGGTCATAGCTATGAACCATACGGCACAATAAATAAGTGTGCATAAGGAAGAGGCTTTTATTTTATCAGTCCCCATAGTCTTATTTTGAAAGTCTACCATGGCTTTGTGTCAAGGGAAGGGTCATGCCCAGCAGTGATATAGAATCCATTTCTAAATGTGAAATCACTGGTTTTCCATGTAATTGGGTAAATAGATGCTGTATTAGAGCGTAAATGCGAGGCTTTTATCGTGAAATTTGCTCTGGGGTGTGTTTTGAAAAGGTCCCTAGAGTCAAATAGAAACTAGTTGGTGGAGTTCGAGTCACAATGCTGAGCCATTTGCATCAATTAATACACCAGTATAATATAGAGGCTTTTATTTTGTAGGGTCCCTGCAGTCTTATTTTGAGAGTCTAGCAGGGTTATTTGTTGAGAAAAAGGTCAGACCCAGCAATGATACTTGATGACTTTCCAGTCATTAAATCACTCTTTTCCCCATTGCCTCCCTGGCAATGGGAGGCTTTTATTCTGACATTTTCTGTGTGCTGTGTTTTGAAAAGCCCCCTAAGGTCTAATTTCTAAAAAGGGGTTGAGTTTGTGGCATAATGTTGAGCCATATGCAGCAACAAATATATGAGTGTAATGTAGAGGCTTTTATTTTGTAGGGTCCGTGGAGTCTTATTTTGAAAGTCTATCAGGGTTGAGTGTCAAGGGAAGAGTCATGCCAGTAGTCATATAGCATCCTTTTCCAAATGTTAAATCAGTGTTGTCTCCCTCCATTAAATTAATATGTGCTGTATAAAGTGGCAGAGGTAGGCATTCCCTTTGAAGCTTGGTTACCTTGAGGATGCTTAAAGAGCCTGTCAGTGACAGAGAGAAAAGCGTAGC